CTGGAGTGGCGGGGCAGTGATGCGGGCGTTTGAGGTGGCGGAAGAGAAGAGGCAGACGTCTTCAGGGACAGGGAAGGTGTTTTTCCCGACTGGTGCTTAGACCGCCCTGGAATTGCTGTGGTCTATTCACCGCTGATCTGTGTGCCCGTTGAGGGCAGGGAGGGGTCTAGCACGTTCTGGCTCACCCAGTGTCTCCACCACGGCTCATCGGCTCATGGCTCACACTGGCTGCAGAAGCTCCTTAAGGCAGGGCCCCATGGGAAGCATCTCTGGGTCCCCAGACAGCCTCAGGGAATGTTGAGTGAATGGAGAAGTGAGTGAATGGGGCCTCTCTCCCCATCCTAAAGAAAAGGAAGCCGGTTTGCCAGGAAGCAGGGCACGGATTACTAAAGCATGAGATTTGAGTCTGTTCTGCAGTTGTGGGGTAGACCATAGGTGGTTGGGGAACCTGTGTGACAGAAATCAGATTGACACTTTCCTAGGGCTTACACCTAAGAGGTTGATGTCCTCATCATCACCCGGTCTGGCCCTCTTGGTCCCCCTTGTTACCTCCCCTACTACCTTCTCCCTCCTGTTTACTCAGCTCCAGCCACACTGGCTTCTTACAATGCCATAGACACATAGGCACACTCCTACCTCAGGGCCTTTGCACTGGCTCTTCTCCCAGCCTGGAATGCTTTACCTCTTGACATTCCCATGGCTCATCCCTTCATCTCCCTCAGGTCTTTATTCAAATACCACATCAGAGAAGCCTTCCCTGGGCAATTAAAACTGCAGCACCCCTCAATCCTCACATCTCCTGTTTCCTGCTTTATTTTTCTCCTTGACACTTATCACATTTAACATACTATATAATTTACTTATTTATCTTTTTATCTGCCTCCTGGGATTAGAGCAGCCCTATCCAATAGAAATATAATACAGGCCAAATATGTAATTTAGTATTTTCTAGTTGCCACATTAAAAATGAAAAAAAAAAAAAACCCACACCAACTGGGGGTCACCTGGGTGGCTCAGTCGATTGAGTGTCTGACTCTTGATTTCAGCTCAGGTCATCATCCCAGGGTTGTGGGATCGAGCCCCGCATCAGGCTCTGCGCTGGGCATGAAGCCTGCGTAAGATTCTCTCTCCCTTTCTCTCCCCTGCGCACTCTCTCTTTTTCTCTAAAAACAAAAAAGCCTTTTGAGTTTTTGAGGAAACCCTCAAAAGGAACAAGTGACATTAATGATGTATTTATTTAACCGAGTGTATTCAAAATAATTATCATTGCAGTATAGCAGTCATCAAATATAAAAAATACTAACGATTATTTTGTGGTACCACGTCTTGGAAATCCGCCCTGCGTCTTATACTTAGGACCCTATCTCAGTTTGGATTCTCCATTTTAAGTGCCCAGGAGGCGAGCCCAGTGGCTCCCATACTGGACAGACAGCACAGGGCCGGAAGGTAGAGGCGTTATTAATGTGGGCAGAATCCTTTGCTAAGGCTTTGAATGGTGCCTGGCTCAGCCAGGCTTGTTAGATAATTATTAAATGAATGAATGGAATTAGTAAAGGAGATCTGTGGGCCCATTTTGCAGATGTGTAAAAAGAAGTCCGGCGAAGAAAGGCAGTGGGGACGGCCTGGGGGCGGGGGCGGCCCGGGCTGGGGATGGAGCCCCACCTGACTCCACTCTCTTCTCTCCCCTGCAGACCATGGCCGCGGTGACCTTGTCCGTGCCTGGGCGGAAGGCGGCCCCCAGGCCCAGCCCCGTGCCAGAGGCCGCCCAGCCGTACCTGTTCACGCCCCGTGGGCCGGGCGTGGGTGGCGGGCCCGGGGGCGCGGGCACCTCGCCGCAGGTGGAGTGGACGGCGCGGCGCCTGGTGTGGGTGCCTTCGGAGCTGCACGGGTTCGAGGCGGCGGCGCTGCGGGACGAGGGCGAGGAGGAGGCGGAGGTGGAGCTGGCGGAGAGCGGGCGGCGGCTGCGGCTGCCGCGGGACCAGATCCAGCGCATGAACCCGCCCAAGTTCAGCAAGGCAGAGGACATGGCCGAGCTCACGTGTCTCAACGAGGCCTCGGTGCTGCACAACCTCCGGGAGCGATACTACTCGGGCCTCATCTACGTGAGTGGCCTCCTGCGGGGAGGGCGGTGCTGGGGGGGTGCGGAGGAGCTGGGTGTCAGCACCCGACTGGACTCGACCGACGCTGGGCGATTTCTAGTGCGCATCCCGCGCGGTTGCCAAATTCCAGTTTACTGGACCAGCGGAACTGCCTCCGACCCCGTTGGGGGTGGCCCGGAATATTTTACAGTACATGCCCCGCACTTTACTGTTTTCCTCAAGTGTAAAAAAAAATTCCGATTTCGCAAATATAACACATCCAGAGGATTTTGAGAAAGGGATGTGGGTCTGTAATAATAATGGATAACAACCCCCGCGTATGGAAACCGGCAGGTCAGGCTCTGCGCTAACCGCCTTCCATGTGTTAATTCACTCCCTCTCACTTCGCACAGAGGAGAGGGTATTATTAAGCCCCTTTTATCTAATAGGAAACTGAGGCCCCGGAGAGATTTAATAACAGTAAAAGCTGACATTTGTTAAGCATGTACTAGGCACTCTTACGTACATTGTCTCCGTACACTTTCACAATTATAAAGCATGTTGTCCCCGTTGTACAGATGAAAAAACAAACACACACTGAGGCACAGAAAGGTCAAGTCCCTTGACCAAGGTCACCCAGTTAGACATGGCAGACCTGGGTAGTCTGGCTCCAGGCTCCATCCCTTTGCTCTGGTGCCTCTTAAGATAAAGATAATATGAGGGCGTCTGGGTGGCTCAGTCGGTTAAGCATCCGACTTGGTTTTAGCTCAGGTCATGACCTCACAGTTCGTGAGTTCACGTCCCACATGGGGCTCTGTGCGAACAGCACAGAGCCTACTTGGGATTCTCTCTCTCTCTGCCCCTCCCCTGCTTGCGCTGTCTCTCTCTCTCTCTCTCTCTCTCTCTCTCTCTCTCTCAGGAATAAATAAATAAACTTGAGGAAAAAAGATACAAATGGTGTTGATGATAGTGAGGTTGACTATGGAGCATTTCCTACCTCCCATGGTTTTGTCTTCACAGCAGATAGGAGTAAGGCAGTGCTTCTTAAGCCTGTCTTTGCCTTAGAATCACGTGGGGAATTTTTTGAAAATACAGCACCTGAGCCCCATCCCCCATGTAAATCAGCCTTTCTGGGGCTGTGACAAGGCCGTTGGTCTCTTTAATAAGCTTCCAGGGTGGTTCTAATGGGCGGTCAGAGCGTTATTAGAGCAAACGGGATTAAAGAGATTGACAAAGAATGTCGACAATAATAACGAAAAATAATAATACTGGTGGCTAGCAAATATTTACTGAGCATTTACCATGTGCCAAGTGCCGTTCTAAGTGCTGACTGGGTTATCAGCGCACCCCTGGGTGGGGGACTGTTGCTGTCACCTGATGTTCAGGAATGTCAAGTGACTTGGGCCCTGGGTCACCTAGATAGGAAGGAGTCAGGTCGGGATTTGAACCCAGGCGGCTGGCCCCAGAGTGGTGTTCCAAACATCCGCTTACAGGACTGTGGTCTCACCGCCTTGGTGCCCTACCCCCCAAGAAAAATCATTAAATTCCTAGCTAACCCCTCGAAAGGGACAGTGCTGGTTTTATATTAAAAACAACAACAAAACTTTTTTTAATTTTTTTTTTTTACATTTATT